TCACCCCCCAGGGGGGATGGTCACGCCGCAATCCCTTCTCCTCCATTCTCCTCTCGGGATCTTGGGCACGCATGCACACGCGCCCGGCGTGAGTTTTAAGTCACCGGGTCCAGGACACGAACCGCGGTCGACTACGTGGGAGTCCAGTGACATAGCCATTACGCTAACTGCTGGTTCCCTCTACCAGCTCTTTTATGGAACAGGTGCTCATTTTAAAGTCGTTATGCAGGGACGGAAATCGAGGTTCACAGAGCGTACTATCTTGACCACAGTCACAGAGGCAGGCAAGCAGGGGACAGACCAGGGTTTGTTCTGGGGACCAGGAGCTAAGCTAGGCCCAGGCTCAGGGCTCCTGCTCTCTACCCCAAGCCTCACACACACCCCGAGTCCCTCTATGTGTTCGTCCTCGCTCTATCTCCTTGCTTACTCTGTCTTAGTTCATCCCCATCCCTCGCACATTTAGAACAATAAGCTTCAATAAATATGTGCGAGTGAGTGAATGAGTGAAAGTTTGAATGTTTCTCGCTGCCTGGTGCTAAGGCCTTCTTTATCCTCTCTCTGACTGTCTTCATCTGACTCTGACTCTCCTGTCTCTCTGTTCTTGAGCGTTTCTATTTCCCTCCGTGTGTCTTTTTGCCCTTTGTTCCATGCCAAGTTACCCTCAGAGCACCTCTGAAGAAAAAGGCTTCCTTCCCCAGGCCTGGCCTTCCAGCTGACAGTGGCACAGACAGAAGCCCCATCAGGGAGCTTTAGCCTGGAAAGGGCAATTGTCCTGCCCTCTCTCTGCCTGAGCCAGCCGTTGCCCTGGAAGTCCCTGACATCCCTGGTCGCCTTCACGACAGCATCCAACCTTAGTGAGGTGGCCTCCTGCAGACCAGTTAGGATATTGGGTCCCACAGCTCCTGGGTATCAGGCCTTCTTGGGGCTCCCACCTCTGATACCAGCATGTGAGAATAATTAGCTATATCACTCAAAGCTTGTCATCTGTGGCCATGGGAAAGAGCCATTTGCCTGATCAGGTAACCACAAGGATATGCTAGTTGTTTTCTATAAAGATCCCTGGACATAAAACTAATAGAGACTAGGGGCCGGCAGGTGCCATGGTGGTTAAGGGTGATGGACTCCCACATGGCCAACCATGGTTTGAGTCCCAGACCTGGTGGCTTGCTTTCTCACTTTCCCTTTCTCTCTCTCTCTGTCCCTCTCTGGTCAAATTAAAAAATAAATAAATAAATAAAATTAGATTTAAAATTCTTAAAAAAAAAAAAAAAAACTAATAGAGACTTAAAATTTCAAAGTATTGGAAAAGTCATGACACATTTTTTTCTATGTTTTCTTAGGCAAAAATGCATCATGACTTTTCTGACAACCCAATAGATCCCATCCCATAACATGAAAACTTCAGAGTAAGCTGGGAAGAATACATGCTGATCCCATTAGATGCTCGGCTTCATCCATCCCTGGGGGAGGACAGAACAGAAATGAAGGACCCAGGGACAGCACGAGTCTGAGCACAGGCTGAGATTGGCTGTGTTGATCTATATGGCTAGAGCAGGCCACTCTCCCTAGGCAGGAAGCTGAGAAATCTGTGATCTGAGAGGGTGGAGAGAGGGTTGTTCCACCCCAGTTATATTAGGGGGAGGTGTAGCCAAAGAGATCACCTCCCACCTGGGGATTCTAAGAGGCAATTCCTCCTGTGTCCAGTAGACTGTGCTATCGAGTCGCTTTTATGGTCTATTGTTTGGAGGGCTGGGGGCAGGTTCACTGTTGCCAGAGCTGATCAGGTTTTGAGTTGAGTGCTGTGGCCACCAGACCTGTGAACAGCGGGACCCAAATGTTGGCTCTGTCCTCCCAGTGGAGTATGTGGGCAAGACAAGGGTGAGGACAGGAGGGGTTGGAGCGATCCCAGAAAGGAGAGACATCTATTGTAAGGTGCTGGGTCAGGTGCCCAGTCTGTCCTGGTCCTCCAGGAACAGTAGATTACAGGCTGAGTATTCTTCATCTGAAGTGCTTGGGACCAGAAGAGTTTCAGATGTTGACTTTTTCAGATTTGGAGTATTTGCATATACATAATGAAATATCTTGGGGATGGGACCCAAGTCTAAACATGAAATTCATTTACACTTCATATAGGCCTTATATATATAGCCTGAAGGTCTTTATGCAATGTTTTTAATCATTTGAGACATGAAACAAAGTTTATGTGTATTGAAACATCAGAAGGCAGAGGAGTCTTGTCACTGTTACCCACAAGGTTATCTACGGACCTTTTTGATATTTTTAACAATACCTTTAAGCCACAAACCAGAGAATAAACACACAAATTACCTACCCAGTGAGTAATGCAAATATGTCATGGCCCCATATGAAGCATTGAAGCATTGTGGGGAACTGCCGTCAGCCTGTCCAGCCTGCACACATGCCAATGTATTACCTTTGTGGGCGTGACTGTGTGGGGGGACCTGGGAATGCACAGAAAAGGTATATTACAACTGGAGGTGGCTAAGAGAGTCTTTCTTTTTGGATACTGAATATACTGTGAGGTTTTTTTTTTGCAACCCATCACATGAGATCAGGTGTGGAATATTTACTTACCACATCATGTCCATACTCAATGTTTCAGATTTTGGAGCATTTGGAATTTTTGATTTGGGGATTAAGGATGCTCATCACATGCAGGGTAGGACCACCTCTAAGCCCCACTGCCTCACTTCCTCCCCTTCCAGGACTGAGTCTGCTTTCAAGTGGCCTCTGGTTGCCATCTTAACTCTCAAGGAAGTGCAGTTCTCCCTGGTATTCCCTCCCTACAGTACTGGCACCCCTGAAAGCAGAGAAGAAGCTCACCCAACCACACCTGACTCTGAGAAAGCTCATGTTTATATAGTGCTCTAAGACGGATCTCCTTTGGAGATGGAAACTTTAATCTGGCAGCATCTCTGAAGTAAGAATGATGTCTAGAGATTCCTACAAAGTCTGAGCATTCCAGGCTTCAGTCTCCACTGGTGGTTTGCTGTGTTTTGTCCTCTGTCCAGGCCTACGTGACCTCTCAAATGTGGACCACTCTTGGGATTCTATGCCACACTTGAGCAGGAGGCTCTTTGCCCACTAGGTTCCTATCACCTCTAGGGCCTGTGAACCCATCTCTTCCCAATCTCCAAGGAAGCTCCATTAAACCTTCCTTCTCCCTGATTGTCCTTTATACTTCCAAAACTCTAGTCTTTCTCCTCTGGGCTGGTCCACCCTCACCAGGGATCACTCCAGATCAAACTTCCTTGGTACCAAAACTCAAGTAAAAAGACATCCCAGTTTCAGGAACACAATGCAGTTGTCTCTCTCTCCTGGGGTAGAGGGAGGGACAAGAGAAACCAACATCACTTCATTCCTTCTCCTAATAACTCACTCTCTTACGCTACCATTTATAGAGTGCAGGCTCTGAGCCAAGCACAATGCTAAACTCATTGCCTGTATGAGATCATTTAATCCTTCTTCAGTCTGACATACTAAAGGCGTTCATTCCCCACTTTGAGAAAGAAGTATGTGGGGTTCAATATCTTGCCCAAATTCTTCAAGCATACTCAGCATAGGAGCCAAGACTCTAACCCAAGTTGTCTAAATCCAAAGTCTGGGTTTTTAGTTGCCTTGCCCAAACTAAGTCTTTCTTCAAACCCACCCCACCCCCTAGAAGTTCCCTTCATGCAGCCATGAACAAGCTGTTGAAACCAGCACAGTACTAGTCACCTCTTTCCTAGCTTGGGGCGGTGAGCCCCACCCACCTCCGGAATCTTCACCACTCATTCCAGTGAGGCTTCCGCCCCTTCCAGTCCCTTTTCTAGCCCCCAAAAGAGAGGGTAAGATACTCCCACCAAAGGGAGGCTCCTACAATCCAGGCCCTTGTGTTGTAATCATTCATTGGATTTTCGTATCAATGTCAAGAAAGAATTCTTATTATACAAGTGAGAAGATTGAGACTCACTCTCCGAAGTCACAGAACTAATACAGAGCAGAGACAGGATGAGAAACCAGTCTGTCCATTCCTGAAGTATCTACAAATGCCTTCATTGTGAATAGGTAGTCAGCACACACAAGAGAGTGCTCACCAATATCACTAGCACAGCCATGCCTGGAGCCTGCACTGAGCAAGGCACTGTGCTAGAATCCTCGCAAGTATTCTTCCAGCAGATCCTCACAACAAGCTCATTTTTGAGCTACTATCATCATGCCCACTTTACAGATGTGGAAACTGAGGCTTAAAAATGATAATCCACTCTCTCTGGATCAATTAAGAATACCCAAGATTAGACTCAGCTCTGGAGACAAGAGCAGGTGGGGTGGAGGAAGACAAGACTGTCAGTAGAGCATGAGTTTTGACTTTGGGTTCTTGGACCTCCACTGAAGCTCTTTAGGAAACCATGGGCCTCATGAAATTGTATGCAAATGTGAGTGTGCTTATTTGCAGTGGGGACAGGAGCAGGGGAGAAGATCTATAGCATTCAATGTATTCTTCAAGGAATCCCTCGTTATGAAGCCCTTCCTCACTAGGGTTCTATTACCTCTAGGGACTGTGAACCCATCTCTTCCCAATCTCCAAGGAAGCTCCCTTAAACCTCTCTCCTCCCTGAGTTCCCCTCTATACCTCAAAAATTCTAGTTTAACTGAGCACAGTGCCTGGCACATAAAGGCAAGAAAATCTGGTGAATGAATAAACAAACATAGGAATGAGTGAGTGAGTGAGTGAATGTTTCACCATGACCTAGGAGACAACACATATGACCTTATACACACATTTATCTTTATCTTCAGGGATGGTGAAAGCCATTCTGGGACCTGAGCCCAACCCACCCCCAAGCCCTTTCTCCCAGTTCCAGAGGCCACAGCCAGGTGCTATGACAAGCTCCAAAACTATGCTTCCCCCGCTACCCCCCACCCCCACTCCTAACAATGACCAGACAGAGACAGAAGTTGTGCAACTCAGATAACAAAGCTATATTGATTGCCAGGTGTGGGGAGGGAAAAGGGTGAAGTAGGGCTCAGGTGTGAAGGGCTTGGAGGCAAGAGTAGGGATCCTCCAGTGAGAGCTGTGTCCACGCAGGGAACATCCTAGGCCTGAGCCATGCTAGACAGCCTTAGTTCTTGGTGCGAAGGACCTGCTCGTGGGTAGACACCACCTTGCCATCGTGTACATCCATGACCTTGGTGCGGATCTGGCGACTGGAGGAGGTCACTGGGGAAGAAGGGAGAGAGGGTGTTACCAGAGGTGGACAGACAGTGGGGTAATCAGGAGTGGGTAAGCCAAGAGAATGAAACGAACTATCATCCTGCTGCCCTCTTCCTCGACTGTCATGTCCCTGATGTTGTTACCCAAGTGTAGATATCACCAACACAATTCCTTCAGACTAGGGGCTCCCTCGGACCAGGGGCAGAGTCTAGGTCCTCAGACTGGAGCTTCCAAAAGCTCAGACTCAAGTGGTTCCATGCAGATCGAACCAAATGGATTGGTTTTCGGTTCTGGCGGAAAGACCTTAACAGGGCCTTGTCCTTAGTGCTGACTGCCCTACCCACAGGGGTCTACCACAGACTCCAGGTGGGAGAGGTAAAAGGCAGGGTCAATGCTCCAAGCCCTAGGAGGCTTTAGAAATGGCTTCTTCTACCCAAAGAGGTTCATAAGGGATACTAGGTGAGAACACTACACTTCAACCCCTCAAGAAGCCCCTCCCCAATGCCCTAAGCCTGCTGGGGTACAGAGGGTGGTCCTGAACTCAGTCTGATGAAGAAGGTCTTACCGTCTCTGGATGACTGTGAGCCAGAGGAGAACTGGGAGGAGGAGAGGCTGTGAAGACAGAAAAGGACAGGACCATTACATGTGGGGGGAGGGGCAGAGAGTGCAGTGGGGGCACAGACTCAAGGGAGGGCCCGGCACTCACTGGGCATCCTCGCCTTCCAACAGGCGGCGGTAGGTGGCAATCTCCTGCTCCAGCCGTGTCTTCACGTCCAGCAGGATCTTGTATTCCTGGTTCTGCTGCTCCATCTCGCAGCGCAGCTGTGCCAGCTGCTCCTCGACACTGCCAATCATCTCCTGGATCTGGGCTAGCTGCATGCAGTAACGGCCTTTGGTCTCCTCCAGGCTGTTCTCCAGAGATGCTTTCTGTGAGGAAACAAACAAACAAAAAGATCCAAGAGTCAGTTAGGGTGGTGATTCCCTCCCTGCTAGCCCTGGGTCCACCCCCTTCCCAGGCAGTGTTCCTACCATGCTGAGCTGGGACTGCAGCTCAATCTCCAGGTTCTGCACAGTGCGCCGCAGCTCAGAGATCTCGCTCTTGCCACTCTGCACAAGCTCGCTGTTGGTGGCCACCTCGCGGTTCAGTTCCTCTGTCTGCAGGAAAGAGAACATTATTCGTACCAGAAGGCCCTGGAAAGCAGTGTTCTGGAACCCCTACACTCTGAATGACACCCACCTTGCTGAAGAACCAGTCTTCGGCATCCTTGCGGTTCTTCTCTGCCATCTTCTCGTACTGGTCGCGCATCTCATTCAGGATGCGGCTTAGGTCCACGCCAGGTGCTGCATCCATCTCCACGTTGACATCTCCACCCACCTGGCCTCTCATGGAGTTCATCTCCTACACAACCAGAGAACAATCCACACCGTGAACAGGAGCATCATCGTGACAGCTGATTAAGTCCCCTAGTCAGAGGTGTTCCTGGCCTGAAAGGTGCCCTTCCACTGTCTCATGTCCATCTCTTCTCTCCCAGCTATTCAGCTATGCTGACTTTTTTTTTCTTTTTTTTTTTCTTTTTTTTTTTTTTTTTTTTTTTTTTTTTTTTTTTTTTGGGGTTTTTTTTTTTAGGTCTCATTCGCCAGAAAGACAGAGAGACAGAAAGCGAGAGATCACCCCCCAGGGAGGATGGCCATGCCACAATCCCTCCTCCTCCATTCTTCTCTTGGGATCTTGGGCACGCACGCACATGGTCCTGGCATGAGTTTATGCCACCAGGTATGGGACGCGAACCATGGTCAACTACATGGGAGTCCAGCCACATAGCCATTACACCAACTGCTGGTCCCCATGCTGACTTTTCTATTTGCCCCTCACCTCCTCATGGTTCTTCTTCAGGTAGGCCAGCTCCTCATTCAGGCTCTCGATCTGCATCTCCAGGTCGGCCCTGGCCAGGGTCAGCTCGTCCAGCAACCTGCGCAGGCCGTTGATGTCGGCCTCCACGCTCATGCGCAGGTTCAACTCCGTCTCATACCTAGAATGACCCAAGAGAAAAACAATGAGGGACCCTTTGTGGCCACACTGAAGACTTTGTTCTTTCCCCCCCTGCAGCTTCTTCTCAGAGCTGGCACCCTGTGGGTGGTTTAGGAGCCAGTTTTGGAAATGGTATGGTTGGACACAGTGCCCATTGATTGCTCAGATCCAAACATTCCTGGAGGCCTGGAACTAAGGCAGTTCATTACCCTGCAAAATCTGGGAGGAGATGCTTCTAACTCCAGTCAACTTCAATAGTGCAAAGGGCCTCCAAATATGACTGCCTCCTACTTCAGAGTCAGGTGGGAAGGTGGGGATCACCTCTCCCTAAGCGGTGCTTCCCAAACCTGGCCATGTTTCAGAATCACCCTAGCAACCAACCTGTTACAAATAAATGGATCAAAACTTCAAGGGTGGGGCCCAAGAGGCTTGTATTTTTACAAGCACCCCAAGGGGTTTTCATGCAGCTATCCTGACACTGGCCAGCTCTGTTTGAGAAACACTACTCCAAAAATGCCCCTCCCTGGGGAGACGGTATGTCCTGAGCCACTGCTGCAAACTCACTTGGTGCGGAAGTCATCCGCAGCCAGGCGGGCATTGTCGATCTGCAGGACGACATTGGCATTGTCCACAGTGGCCGTGAGGATCTGCAGGATGGAAGGGCATGGGTCATTGTCACATGGATATCACCAGCCGGACTTCACTGAAGCCTGAAGTAGGCTTTTGCTTTCATGCTCTTGCCTGAGTCTCCTTCCTCCCCACAAGCCTTCACCACAGCAGCCTAAGGAAAATCCCAGGCAGTCCAGCTTTGACCCAGGACTTTGCTCACTCATGGTCAGCAGAGACAGTGAAAAGAACCCTGGCCTTAGAACCCAAAGCCCTGGAATTCTGCTTGTATTCTGCCACTGACTTCTGCAAAACCCAAGGTGGGTCTCAGGGCTTCGAGGTCTGCTCCCCGGCAGATGAAAGGAATAAATGAGACTCCTAGACCCCTTCCTGATTGGGGTTCTCTCTCTGCATAAGCCAGCCCTGCCAGCCCTCTGCAGGCATGTGCATTCCTTTTCAAACCCACAGTGCCTGAGACCTCAAGTGGGACTTATCTGAGACATGAAGCACAACTGACACAGGGGATTAGAAAAGAGGAAGCAGGGGAAGAAAAAAAAAAAGATTCAATGAACCCTCACCCTGGCTGGAGTTCCTTTCCTTGTCACCTAATTTTCCTAATCTAAGCTGACATCAGAGTTTAGCAGACTGGGCAGGGAGGGCTGGGGTGTACGGGGGTGGTGACATGGGGCAGGGAGTAGGGGCTGAAGTCAGATGGTACAAGCCACCAGGGGCCCTCCTGGGTGGGGCACATAAGATGGGTCACAAGTGATAGTTTCTGTGGGTTTTCTGTTCCTGCCTGGCTGCAGGGAGGGGCTAGTCAGTGCCAGGGCTTATGGGTGGCAGGAGCCACAGCCCAGACTAATGAGCTAATGAGCGGTTTGGATGTCTAGCCTGGTCCCGTTACAGCCTCGCTCCTCCCCTGAGCTGGAGAACAGAACAGGTAGCTGCCTCCTGTGCAGAAAGGTGTGACAACAAGGGCTCTTGCCTGGGCTCTGTCACTAATTTGCTATGTGAATGTCACCAAGTCACCCTCAAACCTTCACCTTCCTCCTCTGTAAAGTAGAAGGGTAAGAACCACTGATTTCACAAGATCAGCGGGGTAGGAGCTCAGAGGGTATGAGCAATGGAAGGGAAGGGAGGCCCAGCTCCTGACCAGCTCTGTCTGGAGCCTCAGAAGGAGGGATGTGGGGCTGAGGACTGTCCTATGCAGACATCTAAAGGTGCCAGTGGCCTGAGGCATCTACTATTCCCAGAGGCTGGCTCTAGAATGGCACTTCCTGCTGCCCAGTCCACCCACCTTGTTCTTCAGATCCTCAATGGTCTTGAAGTAGGGGCTGTAGTCTCTGATCTCAGTGGGCCGCTGCCTCTGATACCAGTCACGGATCTTCACCTCCAGCTCAGTATTGGCCTCCTCCAAGGCACGCACCTTGTCCAGGTAGGAGGCCAGGCGGTCATTGAGGTTCTGCATGGTCACCTTCTCACTGCCCACCAAGAGCCCATCACCACCACCAAAGCCACCACCAAAGCCACCACCAAAGCCACCACCGAGGCCACCACCAAAACCACCAACATCTCCAGCCCTTCATGGAGCTGGAGGAGGTGAACTGGCGGCTGCAGGTGGTCATGATCTGAGGAGAGTGAGTGAGCGAGCTGGCAGAGAAGTGAGAGGTGCTCAGGTACGTTGGAACAGGTTGCAGATGATTTATACTGTGAGTAGGGGGCGGGCCTGGCAGTTTCCATCCCCCTCGGCTTTCATCACCCACGGGCTAAGGCCAACTCCCAGCCAGGTCCCTCCTCTCCTCCGCCTCATCATGTCTGTCATATTTTACTGGAAACTCATTGTTTGGGGTGTTTTGGGCTTTCTTGTCCCGCCAGGCGTGATTCACATGGGGAGGTGCGGGCCTGCAGGCTACACTTTCCCATCGGCCCTAGGAGCTGCAGCCCTCAGCAACCCGCACACTGGGCTCAGCCAAGGTGACAGAGAGTGGGGCCTCTCTACACCCTAAACCTGGTGACCCGTCAGTTCCCCATTAACTGGGCGGGCCTTTAACATCACTGGGAGGAAACCCACCCCTGTAGGGGCTGCTACCTGGCTGCAGGGACCCCAGGAGGGCAAGTGCACATATGCACCCTCAGAAACAGGACGGGCTCAGGGGCCCTCCCAGGTCTGAACTGCCGGGTTCTGCTAAAGGGCCTGTCACCTCCCTGAAACATGCCCAGCCATTCAGGACGCTCAGATTCCCACCTGATGCCTCCATTGAAGGGAAATCTAGTCCTGGGCACAGACGCTAATATCCTCCCTCAGGGGACCTTCTCACACCCACCTCACACTGGCAGGAAAGTGCGTGGAGTCTGGCGAGTCCCAGCTCCCAGTTTGTCCGTGTGACCCAGGACTTGATACTGCTCTGAGCCTCAGCTTGCTCCTCTGCAAAGTGGGAGTGAAGGCCATCCGCTCTGCCTGCTGCAGTCAGTCTGAGGAGCCAGCGGGGAAGTGTGTCAAAGGGCTTTGTAAACTGAGTGTGGCACAAAATCTGCTTAGAGTTATAGCCCAGGCTGGACCCCAAAGGGGTTGGAACATTATCTTTGGGACAGGCTCCAAAAGGGCTTTTCGCTTCCAGCCCCAGGTGTCTTCTCAGACCCCCAGGGCAACTCTGGTGCGGACTGCGGACTCAGGCACCTCATTTGAGGCCCTTGTGGAGCTGGCCAAGGAGTGTTCTGGGGAGGAATATAGGACCTAAGAGTGGAGCAGGCCAGTGCCAAAGGTGTGGCCAGAGCAGACATGAGGGTCCCTGACTCCCGAGGCCTTGATGGCCAGAGGACAGTTCCAGGAATCCATTTGGTCTTGCCTTAGAGGTCTGTATGTCGAACCTCAGGTATCCCACCTCTCCCAGACAACCCTTTCTGGCCCCCACCCCACACTTACACCAGCCCCTCCCCGCCCTTTCTCCAGCCCCTCAGCTCACAGACCCCGCAGGCATGTCAGGAGGAATGTGGTCCTGTCTGGGGCTGCCTGGCACGTCCCATCTCCCCAGACAGGCCCCAACAGCCCCTGCTGGAGGCTCCAAAGCTCTTCCTAGGATCAACTGCTCCTAAAAGGAAGCAAAGCCTTTCCTTCCCTCTCTTCCCTTTCCTTCCCCCCCCAGCCTTGACTACCACAAGAGCAAAAGTCAGTGAACCTCTCCCCCCAACAAGGGCCTAGGCGCTCAGAAGACAATGCTGAGACAGACACTTGAGGCCGTGGGCTCCCCAAATCTGCAGCGCCAAGGACTCTCGAGGATATGAGTAAGCCAGAGCCCCACCCCACTCCACCCGCCCCTGCCAGACACTCCTAATCTCCTTCCAGAGAATGATCCCCCCACCCTAGCCCAGCCCTGCAATTTTCCCAGTGAGAGGCAGCAAGGATTTGGGCTGAGGAACAGATGCTTTTGTTGGGAGACCTGGTGTGTTGGCTGGGGTAAGGGGTGCTCTCTGGAGAAAAATACAGTATCCAGTGGGATCTGAGGAGTGGGAACAGGGTGCAGAGCCCAATACCAGCTTCCTCTGTGCCCCCACCCTGTCTCCCTCCTCTGCAAGGGACCAATGATAGACCCCTGGGGCTCCGGACATAAGGAAAATTTCTCCCTACTTTCTCTGAATCAGTGAAACCAGAGAGAGGCTCTCTCCTTCCTGACCTGCAGGAGGAATATAAAAGACAGAGGTGGCAGGGAACCACTGATACAGCCCATGCTCATAATGTAAGAAGAGACCTTTGCCAGCCACCCCACAGCAGGGCTCTGGAACCCAGGCAAGAAATGCAAATCTAATCTCTCTTACTCAGGATTAGAACCCTGTTCCTGTCTGGAGCCTGAAGCCAACCTCCCTTCCTCCTGCGGGCATGGACTCAGAGACCAAGTTGCTGCAAATGGTCCAGCCAAGCAGAGTAGAGACTTAGAGGACACCCCTTGCCCTCACCCCACCCCCTAGTGCCAGGGAGGCATGGTGCTCATGACTTTTGCAGTAAAGGCAGCTTCTGGGGCATCAAGGGTTAATGGGCTGGGGGATGGGAATCAGACAGCCCGCAGTGGCTGCTGGGCCTGAAGAACGCCCCACCTCTGAACCTCCAGGCAGGCCATTTGGAAACCATTACCCAGCCTTCTTCCAACCTGCCCCAGGAAGGAGGGGGTACAGGAGGAGCCTGGGGCAGTGCCTCTTGTGGTTAGTGAGTCTCCCTGCACCACCCAGCAGTGGGAAGACTGAAGCCAATCCAAACAGGTGATGCAGGCAGTGCTAGGCAGCCCCTCACAGCACCCATATTGTGCCAAGGGCTGGGCTGGATGCAGGGGGTGAGGGGCGGCCGCCTAAAGAAGGAAGAGACAGAATCCATGATCTAGCAGGAGACATCATCCCTGCCTTTACGAAACCCCAGCCTGGAAGGGGAGGGGCAATTACTTATGACACTGGCAACACAAGACAAGTGCAGACCACATGCATGAGTTTCCCAGGGCTGCTGTGACAACTTACTGCAAATATAGTGACTTAAAACAATATGAATTTGTTTCCCGGTTCTGGAGGCCATTAAGCCTGAAATGAAGGTGTTGGCCAGCCCAGACACCCTCAGAAGACCCCAGGGAAGAAGCTCTCCTGGACTTTCCAGCTGGGGGGAGCTCCTCGCCCTCTATAGCAGGGAGACTCCAGTCTCTACCTCTATCTCCACATGGCCTCATCTCTGTATCTCTGGCTATACTCTCCTGATTCTTATAAAGACACTGGATTTCGTGCCCATCCTAAGCCGATGTGATCTCATCTCTATCCTTACCTTAATTACATCTGCAAAGACCAAGGTCGCTGAGGTGCCGGGTGCACATGAATTTGAGGGAAACACTGTTCAATCCATGACCCTGTCTAACCGGCAGGTGCTATCTGGCTGCAGAGGCGGTAGTGAAAACTGGAGAGATGATCCTGATAGGATGCGGGCGTGCTCAACTGCCAGGCTTCTGGAAACAGCTCCTTTTTTTTTTTTTTCCCCTTTTTAGATTTTTTGCTATAGGGCACATGTGCTTGCTGAAGAGAGACAGAGAGATAGGGAAAGTGAGAATCACTCCCCAGGGAGGATGGCCGCACTGTAATCCCTTCTCCATTCTCCTCTCTGGATTTTGGGCATGCACTTATGCACACATGCCCTGTGTATTCTTCATGCTACCAGGTCTGGGACTCAAACCATGGAATAGTCCATGTGGGATCCAACAACTTAACTACATCACCTTCTGGCCCAACTTCTGGGAATAGCTTTTATCTCAATTTAAGAGGGTGCTGGAAACTAGATGGCAGGAAGCACTGAATTCTTAGGTATTGAGTCCATTCTTTTTACCTCCCAGTTTCTCTGACTCCTTCACAAATAGATAAAAGCCCTAGGAAAAAGCTTTCTCTAATTTGCTTTGTCTTTGTTTTTGTTTGTTTTATTATTATTATTATATTATTATTCTTGCCAGAGAGTGTACATACTCACCAAAGAGAAAGAGAAAGCAACCCCACAGCAGGGTGTGGTCATGCATTGGAATCCTTTTCCTCCATTTCTCCACCATGTCAGGATTTGGGAACACAGATGTCTCTGTGGCCACTGGAGACAGGATTCAAACTGTGGTCTAGCATGTGGTCCTGGCTCCCAAAGTGCAGTGCTTAACCATTACACTTACTGTCACAGCAGCCCTGGGCCAGCCCAGGAGAGAGCTTTTGGTTTTAGGGGGTTTTGTTTGCTTTTATAATAATTTTTTATTTTCTTTTTTTTTTGGGGGGGGGAGAAGTTGTTTTTTTTATTTGTTTGTTTTTTGTTTGTTTGTTTGTTTGTTTGTTTGCTATAGGGCGCGTGCACTCGCCAGACAGACAGAGAGACACAGAGAGACAGAAAGCAAGAAATCACCCCCCGAGGGGATGGCCACGCCGCAATCCCTTCTCCTCCATTCTCCTCTCGGGATCTCGGGCACGCAAGCACACGCACCTGGCATGAGTTTTAAGCCACCAGGTCCGGGACGCAAACCACGGTCGACTACATGTGAGTCCAGTGACATAACCATTATGCTAACTGCTGGTCCCTTATTTTATTTTTTATACATTCAATCACATTATTTAACTTACAAAGTGAACATTTCAATATGTGAACATTTCTTTCCAATCTAGTTGATCAAAATATCTTTAACAGATAACGCCACTACCTCCCTGTCCCATCAATGCTCTGTCTCCGTATTCCTCCTCCAAATGTCTTTCCCCAGGCCCCACCCCTCCACACACACCGTATCTGGCAGTCACACCCATCTCTTGTGTTTGTACATCCTTTAGTCAGTCAGTTTCAGGTTTTGAGGGGTTTTGGTTTTATTAGTGTTTGCTTTAGAGTACATGCACTCACTAGAGAGAGAGACAGAGAGGATGAAGGAGAGTGAGAGATCACCCCTCAGGAGGATTGGCCGTGCTGCAATTCCTTCTCATCTAGGCTTCTCTCAGTATCTTGAGTACGTGCATACACACACCTGGTGTGATTTTCAAACACTTTAACCTCCACACTATCTGCTGACCCTGAGAGCTTTTCTTTTTTTTTTAATAATTATGTTTTATTTAACTTTATTATTATTTTCTAGTTCGATCAAAAAAGAGAGAGAAGGAAAATGAGAAAGCAAGCCACCAGGTCCAGGACTTGAACCACAGTCGACCATGTGGGAGTCCCCCACCTTTAACCACCATGAGACCTGCCAGCCCTGAGAGCTTTTCTTTTTAGACTTTTTATTTTGCAATAATTTTAAACTTTCAGAAAAATTTACAAAATAGTACTAAGAATTCATGTGTACCTTTCTCCCTGCTTCCCTTAGTATGAACATATTACATAAGTGTAGTACAATGTTTAAAACCCATGAATTAATATTAACACATACTTAGCACCATCAGTTGGTGTAGTGGCTATTTCGCTGGATTCCCATGTAGTCAACTGCGGTTTGAGTCCCGGACCTGGTGGCTTAAACTCATGCCAGGTGCATGTGTGTGCGTGCCCAAGATCCCAAGAGGAGAATGGAGGAGAAGGGATTGCGGTGTGGCCATCCCCCCTGAGGGGGTGATTTCTCACTTTCTGTCTCTCTGTCCTTCTCTGTCTTTCTGGCAAGCACACACACCCTATAGCAAAAACCTCTCCAAAAAAATAATAATAATAAATAAATAAAATATTAACACATACTACCTCTTTCTATATTCTTTTTGGATTTTTTTGAGAGAGATATTTTTGCTATAGGGTGTGTGCAGTCACTCCCCTCACCATGCCCGTCCTTCTCCCCACCAAGTCTGTCATCTGTGTGTAGAGAGAACAGTCTTCTAGAGCTCAGGGCTGGGGCCTGGGTAGCCCCTGCCGCCAGAAAGGCAAGGTGGCCATGGAGGCCAGGAACAAACCAGCCAGGAGGATTGCAGGTGCAGGAGGCAACTGGGAGCCTGGGGCACCTCCTCAAGCCCTGGGGTGCCCTTTCCCCCAGAGAGCTCTGCCGCCCGCTGGTTTCCCAGGCCAGCCTGCCCGTCTGACACACAGAAGGCTGAGCCAAGTGTTTCCGTGGCCATGGCCATCTCTGAGCCTCCTAGCTGCACTGCAGAGCTGACAGAGCAGAGGATGGCCACCCCACATTGCAGAGGGAGAAGGCTCGAGGTTGAGGAACTTCCCAAAGCTCGTGGTGAGGAAGCTGCTCAATCAGGATTCAACCCCAGCTCCACCTGGCCTCAAACCTTGCTTCTTCTCAATGACAGGTTCCCCACCCCCGCTAGAAAGTCCCCAAAAGTCAGAGCCTCAGCATCATCCAGGCCATCCTCTTTTACTTTATGGATAGGAAAAGTGAGGCCCAGCAAGAGGAAGAGATTTGTCCAAAGTCACAAAGCAAAGCCTGCTTCAAATGTACAAAATATTTCAGTGTCACCCAGGGTTCTGAGCCAGGGTGAGAATGTGCGTGGGGTGGAAAGAGTTGTGTCTGCACCCCAGAACCACCCTCGGGTTGTTAAGAACACAGATGATCAGGTGCCAAGGGCCAACAATAGACCAGTTCATAGATCCTGTTCAGGGAAAGTATGGCTTAGCTTCTGCAGCCAGTTACCCACAATGCCTCACTGTCACCAGAGTCCCAACCCCAGCAAGCCTATCCCCTTGCTGATGCCTACATCTCGGCCACCTTTCAGCCTCTGCCTGAATTTCCACATCTGTCCTCTCCCACAAATCTCTCACATTCTTTAAGGCAAAACCTCAGTTCAGCACACAGCTTTAAGATATGATTTCTGGAGTGGCTCCCTGATCTGGTGGTAAAAGGAGCTAGATCCTCCATGGCTGACTGCATGATTTGAGTGCCAGTCCTGGCAACTTGAAAAACATTTCAGGTACATGTGCATGAGTGCCCTAAATCCCAACAGGATGAGAAATGGAGGAGAAGGAATTGCAGCATGACTATGCCCCACTGGGAGTGCTTTCTCCACCCCCCCTACCCCCCGTCTCTTAGTCTCTCTCTGATAAACACACATGCCCCACAGCAAAGTTTTTAAACAATTTGTTTATATTTTATTTTATTTTATTTTATTTTATTTTATTTTATTTTATTTTATTCACTCTAGGACGCATATACTTACCAGAGAGAGTGGGCAGGGAGTTGTGAGAAAGCAAGTTGTCAGATCCGGGACTCAAACCATGGTCAGCTATGTGGGAGTGCAACACCTTAACCACCTATGCCACATACCACCCTACATTTTTTTTAATAATTATGACATATATATGATTTCTACAGACCCTATTCCATGAAGGATAGGAAGACAGAGGGAGGGAGGCAGGGAAAGAAGGAAGAGGGCAAGCGAACGTGAAAGAGAAGATGGACGGATGGAGGTGTATGGATAGGTGGATAGATGGGTAGAGAAAGAAAGTTAAAGAGGGAAAGTGAAAGAACAGATGGATGGGTGGTGGGTGGGCAGGCAGGGGAGCAGATAGATGAGTGATGGAAGGAACGATAATGAATGGATGGATAGAGGGATAAATGGAAAGTGGGCAGGTGGTAGGTGGGCAGATGAGTGAAGGATGAAAGAAGCACAGAGAAATGGCAGTCAGCTAGACTGGAGGCAAGAAGGGAAGTACCCC